CCCCTCCACGGCCCCCCACCCCCCACCCTCTCAATGAGGTATGACGCGATGAAGGTCTTGCCGGAAGACGTGGGGGCGCACACCAGGGCGGACGAGCCTGGTGGAAATCACGCACGGTTGGCAGGCAGGGGGCCCAAGAAGAGGGCTAGGGTCAGTGGGGCCGTTATGCTGTGCCCACGTGCCGGGGCGTGGATCCGCTCTGAATTGTGTGTGCGCCCGGGAGCAGCTAGTCGTACACAGGTCATACATGCACGCCTAGCAAGCCGCCTTCAATCCTCAGGCCGCTGTCAGCCAATAATGCGCCTGCACTGATGTAATCAGCGCCGCACTTACCCGCATCCACAGTGTCCAGCAGGCGCCGCTGCCACGCGTCCGGCACGAACGCGACGCGCCCGTCCCGCTCCCCGCCGCGCTCTCGCGGCAGCAGGTGCGGCACCAGCAGCAGCTGCAGCCGCTCCGCGCTCGGCGGCCGCCAGCCGACTGCGTCCCAGTCGATGGCTTTGAGCTTGGGCTGCAGGCTGCGGTGCGGGCCGCCTGCTGCCGCTACCTCCTGGCTCTTGCCCTTGCCAGGGCCCTTGTCCTTCTTCTTGAACCCCTCCTTGGATTCCTTGGGCGCACCCTCCTTCCCTTTACCCTTCTTCGTGCCCCCGCCCCTGCCATCAGACGCAGCTCCAGCCGCGGCGTCCGCCTGCTCAGCGGCCCGCGGCGGCAGCGCCTGCATCAGGCACGACGCCAGGTCGCCGAATCCGGCCGCGCGCGCCGCGGCCGCCGCCACCGCGAGCGGCGCGGCCGGCCCGCCTCCGCCGTCGGTACCTTTGGGCAGGTCGACGGGCTCTGCTTGCTGCCTCCGCGGCAGCGCCAGCGCCCGTTGGACCGCCAGCAGCAGAAGCCGCAGCGGCGCTTCCAGGCGCGACGGCACCCCTCCGCCGCTGCTGCCGCCGCCGCCCTTGGCGGTGCCCTTTGCTGCCCTCCTCAGCCACACGTGGGCGACCACCAGCCGCGCCGCCGCCGCGTGCGCCGCGCCGGCCGGCGTCGTGGCGGCGGCCGCGAAGCCGTCGACCGCCTCCGCCGCGCGCGCCAGGGCCGTCTCTGTCGGCGCGTCGAGCGCCGAGTCCACCGAGCGCAGCGCGGTCAGCCGCCAGCTGCACAGATCCCTCTCCGCGTCCAAGGCAGCCAGGCGCGCCGCATTGTCGCGCCTGATGTGGTCGGCGGACGACTTGCCGCCCTTGCCGGTCCTCCCGCCGCCCCCGCCGCCGCCGCGCTTGGCTACGCCGCCGGCCTCAGTCTCCTCCTCCGCCAGCTGCGCGGCGGCCGTGATGGCTGCGCCGCGCTTGCTGCCGCCCCCTGAATCATAGAAGCCGCCCTGCAGGCTCAGCACCATGCGGTTCATGGCACGCGCCGAGAACTGCAGAGGAATAAAGGGGATAGGCAGCACAGCGCCTCTCAAGGCGGCGCTCTATAAGCTGGGGTAGGGCATTCTTGGGCGACGCCATGGCGGATGGGGTTGGCTGCACGCATTGCATTCTGAGCTCAGCCTGGGATCTTCAGTGAGGACCGGGACAACCGTCACACAGCCTCCGCCCTGCACCACTCCCCAGCATCCGCAGCGCCACACTTTGCCGAGGGACGGCACCCAGGAAAACCCCCGGTGCGCGCCTGCTTCTGGCGTGTGGCCCAGTGGCTCATCGCCTTGTCGGCGATGCGGAGCGCCCGCCTCAGCAGCTCTTCGCGCGCCTTGGTGTCGGCCTCGGCGCGGGCGGCTTCCAAGAGGCCGGAGAGCGCGCCCGCCTCGTCGCGCGTCATGAACCTGGCTCAGCGTGGACCGGGAAGGGGGGCGAAGTGCCCACAGCTGGTCGTGCAGGGCAGTGCCTAGTTGTGAGTTGTCAATTGCGTGATCAGCGCCAATCCAGGCATGCAAGCAGCTCAACGGGTGACGCCAGGAGGAGGCCCACAATACGGATGGGATGGACATCAGCTGCAGCTCCACAGGCGGTATTCGCCCCCGCCTCGCTCTGAGGGGCAGTCGAGGCGCACCTGCTGAACTTTCTAGAGGCCAGCTGGTGTGGCTTCATGCGCAGTAGCTGCTTGCGCTGCGCTTCCATGTCCAGGTCAGCCTTGGCCTGGAGGGGGGGTAAGGTAAGGGGGTGGTTGACGGGAGCGGGCGCCACCGTGATGTGACAGCCACTGCTGTGATTTGGTGGCGGGTGTCTCAACGTGCAGACGCAAGAAACCTGTTTGTGCAGGGGCCGAGTAGCATGCCTTGCACAAACACTGCCCAGCCAGAAGGTCTCCTTCATCAAGCTTCCTGGAGTGCAGCCGCCACACACACACAGCGTGCACAACCCCGCCCATATCCCATACGCCGCGCTGCGGCAAACACCGGCACGCAGCACCTCCAGCATGAAGAAGGGCTTCAGGTCTGTCCGGATGTGCCAGTGGTACCGCTCCTGCCACGGCCGCTGCACGGCCGCGAAACGCCCGCCGGCCAGCGGCGGCGCGGCGCCCGACCTCTCCACGCTGTCACCGTTGGCTGTCTCGCCGTGGCCCTCGGCGGCTGCGCAGGCACTGGGGCCAGACAGCAAGGGTATGCTGCTGTCCGCATCGCCGCGCTCCAGCGCCGCCCGCAGTTCTGACACCAGGTCGCACGATCCCGCCAATGCCAGCGCCGCCTGCTGGCGGATGCAGATCTCCTCCCCGAGCCGCCGCTGCAGCGCCCCGTGCCGCGCGCCCTCCGATGCCGCTGCGCGCGCCGCGGCCGCCGCGGCAGCGCCCCAGACCTCGGTCGCCTCTGGGGGCGGCACGAGCGCCGCGGCCGTGAGCTTTGGGGGTTCTCTGACGGCGCTGAGCAGCTGAGCGACATCTGCGCCCGCCGCCAGGGCATCCACCGCGGCCAGCACGGCCGCTGCGCGGCGGCCGGCGCCGTCTGGGGGCAGGGCCGCCAGCAGGGCGCTGGCTGCGCTTGTGCCGCCATTGAGCAGGGAGATTGCCACGGCGAAGAAAAGGCCTGTGTCCCAGGGATCCACCAGCTCAGCGAGGGCCCTCAACTGTCCGTCCTCTTCAGGTGCGTCGGCCTCTCGCAGCTGCGGCGGGTGCGGCCGGTCTGGTGGCGGCGCACCCTCGGCAGTGCTGAAGGCAGGCGCGACCCATTCAGGTGCGCTCGCCAGTGCGGCCCTGGCAAACGGCATCAGCAGCTGTCGCGTCATCCGCGCTGCGCCAGGGTCGGAGCGCAGCGCCGTCGCCACCGGCAGCGCCCGGCTCTCCAGGCTGAGCCAATCCAACAGCACACAGTGCAGCGCCCACACGCGCGACAGCCACGGCCACGCCGCGCGGGCCGCAGCGGCCTCCGCCACAACCCCCGCCGCTGTCGGAGCCTCCTGCCCATAGTCCTCGGCACCAACACCACCTAAACTGCTGGCTGCGGCAGAGCCGGCAGCGGCGGCGCGTGCGGCGCATGCGCCGCCCAGCGCCTCGCGCGGGCTGGCCGATTGCGACAGCAGGGCCCTGACCAAAGCCCCCTCGCGCGCGTCCTGGCCTTCCCCTCCACCGCAGCTCACATTCTGGCTGCCGCCGCACCGCACCTCTCCTTTGATTGCCACAGCGCCACGCCCTGCATCGTCGCATCCCCCAACGCTTGCCGCACTGCCGCCAACGCCGCCGCGGCGGCTGACGCCGTGAGAGCCGATCAAGCCGGGCAGCAAGGCCGCAGCCGCCGCGCTGACGGCGGGCCCCTCCTCCGCCAACAGGCGGTGCGCATACGATGCGCGCAGCAGGTAGCCAAACACGGAGTGACTGTTGGCCTGCAGGCCGCCGAGAAACACCAGGTCGCGGCGTGCCAGCAGGTACAGGTAAGCCGCCGCCAGCAGCCCGCGCCGCACGCGCGCCAGCGGCCGCCGCGCGGCAGCGGCGCCTGTGCCCCCGCCCTCGTCGCCGTCGCGTCCGGCGAGCTGCCTGCTGCTCTCCTCGTCGACCATGTCAGCCACCATAACATATCGCGGCTTCAACTCATCCAGCAGCCGCTGCCACTCTGGGGACCCTGGGTCGCATTCCGCCACCCTGAGCCCATCGCGGCGCCACGCGAGCGCCGACATGTGGCGCGTGAACACGGCACGCAGCGCGGCAGCGGCGGGGTCGTCGGCGGCCCAGGCGGCAGCGAGGGCGGGCGAGAGGAGGACCACGAAGCGGCAGCCGCGGTCGAGGAGCATCTTGAGGCGGCACTCTGCCCGGTAGACCGCCTGTTGGGTGGTTGATGGGTCGGCACGGACGGCAGCGGCGGTGCCGGCGAGTGGAAAATGTACAGATCTTAAGTCATGGTTGTCTATGTATTGGCTGAATGGTGTTGTGCCTGACGCGTATGAGCAAGCTGGCTTGCACCTCAGCAGATTGCTCGCACGAACTGACAGTAGGTGTCAGGCGTGCGGGTGCAGAAGCCAGTAGTGCGCCGCGCTGCAGCGCGGCACCACTTCATCAAAGCAGGAACTGTTTACCCCCTGCCGTAATAGCAAGCGCCATCCGCTGCACAGGCCGGTGTCAAGCCGCGGCTGCAGCCACTCACCGCCAGCGGCTGCCCCACATCCACCCGGGTGCCGGGAGCCCCCAGCAGGCTGTGCAGCAGCAGGCTGTCGCCATCCAGGACGAATGCCTCGGCCCAACCCATGTCATGAGAAATATCCATGTACCGAGGCACCAGGCGGGCAGCCTGGCGAGCGCGGTGTGGGGCCGGGCAACGGGAGGCACTGGACTATCCATACCTGTCTCATGGTGGGGGCCCGCGAGGTGGGCGTCGCTGCCGGCGCGAGAAAGCTGGCATCCTGAGGTCTGTTCAGGGATCGAGCGGCTCCCGTGCAGGCTCATGACCCGCACCTGAGCCAGCAGCCAGTCCTCGGGATCAAGATCTCGTTCCATCCCGTCCGAGCTTTCAGCGCTGATGGTATAATCAAGATGGATATGACATCAATGTGATCGTGTCGCCACGAATGTATAAAGATGAACTGGGCGTACGCCAAGGCCGTGTCGAGACGTCAGTGATCGCCACTGAAAGCAGTGATCGACACTGATGTTACCGTGGCCGACACGTTATGGTGACACGTTGAAAAAAAGCGCACGGAGTGCGCGTGTACGCATCGCAAGGCAGCAGATTGCGACCGGGCAGTGTGTGATTGTGACCGGGCAGTGTCAGTTGCTGGACTTCTCAGGCCCTGCGCGACGTTTTTTGGTAATGAAGCCTTGCCTGCTTGGGACTATCGCGTATCAAAAGCTATGCAGATGCTACAACGTGTAGATGTCCAATTTATTACTTGAGGTCCCCGTCACGCATCGTGTCACACAGCTGCTCTCAAAATTGGCACAGCTCAACCGATGAACACAGCGGGGTGCTGCGCACGCTTCTTCACCTCTCACTCTGTTGGGATACAAGCAACGTAACAAGGCTCATCACCAAACAATGAAAAGACACTGCGTCCCCCTCACGCTGCGCTCGTCACCTTGGCCGCCGCCTGCGCCGCCACGCCGCCGCTGCTGCTTGCCAGCACCGCCTCTGCTGCGCGCCGCCCCGACACCAGGGCGCCCTCAAACGTGGCGCTGTCCCTGTGGTCGCCGCACACAAACAGGCCGCCGCCCAGCTCGACCGGCCGCCGGAAGTTGGTCGGGGGTGCCTGGCTGGGCTGGGCAAAGGGGATGCGGTAGGTGCGGAGGTGCTGCCAGCTGGAGACCTGGCCTGCGCCAAACCAGGGGCCCAGCTCTGCCTTGACCGCCGCCGTCAGCTCGTCGTCGCTCAGCTGCGGCTGCGTGCCGATGACAGACACTGACACCAGCGCCTGTGGCGAGCAGTCATGGGATCGGATACGGGGAGCAACGGGTGGTGGCTTCAGCGAGGTGGCTCATGGGTGACGCGTGGCTCGCGTATGGGTGAACGAGGCGCCGCTCAAGGTGAGCTCGACCGTCTAGCGCTCAGTGTTGCTGAAGTAGTCTAAAGGACTTCTCAGATGCACATCAACAGCGACAGCAGCAGCACCTGCTGCAGGAGCGTCAGCTGCTGCCGCTGCCGCTCCCTCTTCTATCTGCCCAACCAGCTTCGAGAACAAGTACGGCGCACGTCAGGGGATCACCAGAGCGCCCACCTGCCCCGCTGGCGCGTAGCTGGCGGACACGGTGCTGGGGAAGCAGGCGTTGTTGACGAGCCCCTTGCCGGTGCCGTTGAGGTAGAGCACGTTGTCGGGGTTGGGGGGTGAGGGGGCCGAGAAGTAGAGGCAGGCGGTGCCCACGCCGTCCTCCGGCTTGGAGGGGGAGGCCTGGGGCAAGGTGATGCAGGCCGAAGTGAGAAGGGTGGTGCTTTCCAGGCATGGCGCGTGCGCGACATACCACGTTTGAAGGATAATTAGACGCTGCAGCCACTCGCTCGTGCCCGCGCCTGCCAGTATTTAGGAGTCCTCTCACAGACATCACACTCAATTGAGGCCTGTCGCCCCGCAACCACTCCTGCTCCAGCTTCACAGGCCCCTGTCCCCCAGGCTGCCCACCCACCTCCAGCCGGCCCGCAAGCAGCCGCCGCGCCTCTGGGCCCTCTGTCGCCACCACCACGCCGCGCCGCGCCACCACGCTGCGGCCGTCCGCGAGCACCACGCGTGCCCCCGCGTTGTCGCCACCACCCCCCTCTATCCGCTCCACCTTGGCCCCTGAGTGTGTGGGGGCAGAGCGCAAGAGGGGACGCTGATGTTAGGTTAGCGTCCTCACCACGCGGCCTTTGCCGCCGCGATCAGCGGCCCATGCGGCGCCCAGCCCCGGTGGTGCTCAACGCAGGAAAGCAGCCTGTTGCGCCTGCTGCACACCCAGACCTCCCATTGCAGTCAAATCGTAACCAGGTCAGGCTCAAGAGACTGATGCAGCCGCGCCCAGGGGTGCGACAAGTGCCCAGGCCCTTGCCAGCGCTCACCAAGGAAGAGGCTGTCCGCTGCCAGCCGCCCGCCGAGCTGCTCCGCCACCGCGCCGATGCCGCCCTCCGGTAGGCAGTTCTGGCCTGTGGCCAGCATGCGCATGACGAATGAGAAGAGGCGGCTGCTGGTGCCCAGCTTGGTGTCAAAGAAGATGCCCCCCAGGAAGGGCCGGAAGAAGCGGTCGATGATCTCGGGGGAGAAGCCCTCCTCCTGGGTAAGGTGGGGTGGGGGGTCGACCAGTGGGTGGACTGCTGGGGGCGGGTGGGTGGCAGCTTGACAGTCAGGAGGCGCAAGGCGCGGCGAGGGGCTGGCCCTGGGCCTTGGAGACGAGACATATGCGGCCTCTCGGAATTGGGTTCATTTCATGCTGGGCAATCTTTGCTTGGACCAGCCGGCCCCCCGCACGCCGAGTGGCTCAGCAATCGCAACGGAACATGCCCTCGCCGACCCCCAACAACAAACGGCTGCTTGGCCTGCGCCCCGGCCCGCCCCTCCCACCTTGAGCCGCTGCTCAATGGTCGTCTCTGGCCGCGCGAAGATGTCATCGATCGAGCCCAGCAGGCTCTTGAGCCTGAACACCCCCACGTTGACCTTGTCCCCAACAGACCCTATGGGGTTGGCCAGCGACAGCAGGCCGTCCACAAAGTGGCGCAGCGGGTCCGCCACGGTGTGCCAGCCGCCGTTGAACCAGACGCGCGCGCCGGCGTAGAAGGGGCGCAGGCGGAGGGCCTCGTAGTCCAGCACCTGCTGCGCGTAGGGGTAACCCGTCAAAAAGATCTGGAAGCCGCGGTCCAGGAGAAAGCCGCCCACGTCGTCCGTCCGCACGCGCCCGCCGACGCCGTCGGACGCCTCGAGCAGCAGCGCGGTCACGCCGCGCTTCTGCAGCAGCTCCGCGCAGTGGAGGCCGGCCAGGCCGGCGCCGACGACGACGACGTCCGCCTCGGAGGGCAGCTGCGGCGCAGCTGGACCGGCGGCTGCAGCGGCGGCCACGGCGCGGCCGCGGGGCGCCGGGGAGCGCCGCGGGGCACACACAGCCGCGGGCGTGGCGGGGTAGTGCGCCTCATGGCGGGGGCCGGATCGAGAGGTCGAGCGGTTTGCCACGGCCCGTTGCTGCCGGCACGAGGCCAAAGGCACGGGAGCGGCGCACGGACTAGCAAACGGCCGTGCCCCTTGCAGGGAGGCCTGGCCCGCAATGCCCGCAGAGGCCATGGAGAGCAAGCTGCACCTGCGGTGGCAGGGGAGTGGCGGTCGGAAGCGCGATCCCCACGGCAGCAAATCGCTGGGAGATCGGCTGTGTCGAGCAGCGGGTGGACCACACGCCGCGCGCCCCGCCAAGTGCCCCGTGCACAGGTGGCGTGGAGGCCTGAAACCACGCACATTGACAGCTAACCCTCAGATGTCGCGCCTGCGTGAGCTCCGCGCTACGCGCCTCAGTGTCGAGGTACGCTCGAGCTGCAGCGGGTGCCAGTGGGTGATGCGCAAGGAAGTCAGGGATAAAAAGAAATTCATCCGCTTGAGGACCACTGAACTCAGATCCGAGCGCATTCGAAATTATCAAGTGTCGTGCTTTGCTGCTTTGACGGTGTCACCCGCATTCTAGATCACGACGTTGCGCATCTGCACGCAGTTTAGCTCTTTCATGGTTGGTATGGATCTCAAATCTTGGTCTCGACTTGTCTGAACCATGCCAGGACATCAATCCGAAAAGGGTCGGCATCAAGTGTTTATCCTAAAGGCTCGTTAGCTTGTGTAGCATCGGAGAAGCAATCCTGTCACTTGAATTTGTCGCTTAGATGGCCACTCAGCGGACCTTCTGCCGAGCCGCCGTGCTGCAGCGGGGCCCATGCGCCGTGGCGGCCGCAGCCGCAGCGATCCGCGACCAGCTCGCCGCACACCCTCACCTGCCGCCGGACCTCGTAGCGAACTTGATGGCAGCTGCGGACGCCCTGGAGGGCAAGGAGCCTGCGCCGGCGCCTGCTGCAGCCGTGCACGACCCAGCCGACGACGTTGAGGTGACCACCAGCGACGGCGACAAAAAGCAGCGGAAAGACAAGCGCAAGCGGCGCGACTCAGAGGCGCCGCCGCCGGCAGCAGAGGCAGGGGTGCACGACGGACAGGCAGCAGCGGCTGTGCCGGCAACCCCAGAGGGCGGCAAGCCTGCTAAGAAAAAGCACAAAAAGGACAAAGGCGCTGCAGTCGTAGCGGTGCCAGGGTCAGCGGCAACGCCCGGCGCTGCCACTGGTCCAGGCGAGCAGCAGCAGCAGCAGCAGCAGCAGCAGCAGCAGCAGCAGCAGCAGCACAAGCAGCAGCAACAGCAACAGGGGCAGCAGCAACCACACAACAGAAAGCAGAAGCACAAACATAAACAGCAGCCACCACCTGATGGCGGGGGCAGCGCCGGCGACGGCGTGGCGGCAGCAGACGCCGGCAGCAGCGGAAAGCACCGGCATGAAAACGGAGTGCCGGCTGACACCGGCGGCAGCGGCTTGCCCAGCAAAAAGGAGGGCGCACCCAACAGCGGCCAGCATGAAGACGCCCACAGAGAGAAGAGTGCCAAGAAGAAGCACAAGGACAAGGAGAGGAATCAGGACAAGGCTAGTGCCAAAGCTACGCTCAAAAAGAAGGAAAAGGACAAGGTCGGCAAGGAGAAGGGGAAGAGCGGCGGCCAGTAGCCAGCCGAGCATGCGGCTGCGTCGCGTCCCTCCCGCCCATGCCACAGGCCAGCCCCGGAATCATGGAGGCTAGCTGCATGGCTGTTAATGTGTTGCGCCCACCATGTGGACCTCCTTTCAATGACTGTGCATGCATTGCTTTGTTCTTTGAGTTTGTTACACGACGTAACCGCCACCCCTTGACGTGAAAGTGGATATCACCTAAGCCATTCGGCTTGCCGGTGACCAAACTGAATCTGCTGAGTGTCATGGAGTGACCTGATCTGGCAAGTGCAGCAGCTTGATATACTGATAATCATCGAATTGGCATGAGCAGACATTGGCAGCTCAGAGCACACAGTGAGAAAGGGTATTGTGCCTTGCCAATAAGCAGAAATGACACAATTTCCAGAAATGACACAGTCCCAAGTTGCACCAAATTGCACAAAACCGCCTGAATTGCTTCAGCAACAATGCCAGGAACGGATCTACATTCGCCTGAAGCAAATACATGATGGCCAGAAACAGCATCAAAGCTGCCAGCCAATAATTGTTGATACAGCCACACTGCTGTGCCCGCCTGCTCACGATGTGAACGGCCATGGGCGATGGCACTTGTTTTCCCGATCCTACGCCGACAAACGCCGCCTGCCCTGCTGATGCTATTGCTGCTGTTGCTACTGCTGCTGGAGCTTCTGCGGCTGCTGCTGCTGCTGCTTCTGCTGCTGCTGCTGCTCTTGCTGAGTGGTCCCCTTTGCATGTCGCTGCCGCTGCCGCTCGTCCCCTGGCTGCCCCTTCGGACCGCCATCACCATCGCCAGAGCGCTGCCCGCCCCCGCCCGTCGCGCCCCTGAGCGCCGCCAGCTGCAGCAGCAGCTCCCGAGCACGCGGCGTGACCTCCCCTTCCAGGGGCACCCTGACGCGCACGTTGAAGTAGTGGTGGCCGTAGACGAGGCCGCCGTCTGTGCTGGCCACGACGCCGGCGTTGTCGAGGCGCAGGGCGTCGCCGTGCTGGGTGCCTGGGAGGTGACCGGACGGGGCGGGGCGGGACGGGGCACGTCACGAGACGGGCCAACTCAACATGATTGGCTGCCGGCGTCGCCAAACATCAAGAGCGCGCACAGCTCGATGAGTCGCGTCCTGTACCTCGTCTCAATCACTGCGCCGACAAGGTGGCCACACCCCCAGCCTCACCGGCCGGCACGCTGATGGTCCTCTGCCCCCTCACTGTCGCCACCGCCACCTCCACCCCCAGCAGCGCGTCATACAGCCCCAAGGGCAGGATGCTGTGCAGGTCGTCGCCGACGCGCTCGATGCCGGCGCGCCCCAGATCGTGGACCTGCAGCTTCACGAACAAGTCCCCCGCGGCGCCGCCGCGGCGCCCGGCGTCGCCCTGCCCCTTGACGCGCAGGATCTGGCCGTCCCCGACGCCGGCCGGCACTCGCACCCGCACGGTCCGCAGCATCCGCGCCCTGCCCTCGCCGCGGCAGCGCCCGCATGCACGCGCGGCCGCGCGGCCGGCGCCGTAACAGGCGGGGCAGGCGGCGGGGAGCAGGGGGCGGGCGATGCCGTCGCCGCCCCACTCGCGGCGCATGATGGTGCCGGCTCCGCTGCAGATGGGGCACAAGGCAGCGCGGTCGGCGGACTCCACACCGGTGCCCTGCACTCAAGGACACGGGGTGGCGGAGGACGCGAGAGGAGTGGGTGCGGTGCACGTGGTGAGAAAGGGACTGATCTGGCCATGTAATATGACCAGCAGCCGAAACAGATCCCCTGGACTCGCTTGCAGTGTTGACTGGACCGATGCAGGTGAAAACAAGCAACAACAAGATCCCGAAGAACAGGGGCTGCCGCAACCTTCCCACGATTTCTGTACAGTAGCTGTGTCCGCATCCCCAAGACCCCCTTTGCTTTCGCACAACAAACCCCTGCATTGCCCGCACCTTGCACTCTCTGCAGCATCCGTATGACGTCAGCGACAGCGACTTCTCCGCCCCCGTTATGGACTGCTCAAACTCCAGCCCGGCCACTGTGTAAACGTCAGTGCCGCGCTCCTGCCGCACAGACGCCGCCCCCGCGCCACCGATGCCGCCGCCGCTGGCACGTCCGCTGCCGGCGTTGCGTATGGACGGTCCATCTGGCATGGCAGGGGGCAAGGCAGAGAGGCGTGTGACTTTTTGTTCGCTCTTCCGCATGGATGCCTTCCCTGCTTGCACATCAGGTTTGGAGCGCATAGCAGAGCGCATCAATACAGCGCCAACAAGCCCCAAAAGCAAGCATCGCTCGTCCCAGCTGTGATGCGTCATACGGCCGCGAACCGCGCACCTCCCTTACGCGACCCTGGGCTCACCCCCTGCAAAGCCGTGCCCCAGGAGGTAGTCACGCAGGAACGAGTACTTGGGGCCCAGCGCCCCCACGCCCGCGCCGCCGCCGCACTGCTGCCGCAGGGTTTCGTCACTGAGCACCTCCAGCGCTAGGTTGATGGCCTGGAAGGCGCGGAGGCAGGCAGGCCGTCGCCGCCAAGGAGGACGGCATCCGGTGTTTACAGCCATGTTACAAGCGCCCCCGGTCCCATTGCAAGGCTGGCGCGGCTGCCATGCCCACGAGGGAAGGGGCGCCCATGGACTATCTGCATGCATAGGGCTGCTGCATGCTACCCAGGTGCGAGAGGGGCAGCCCGCACCTTGAACTTGTTGCTGGCGTTCGGCGATGCGTCCACGTCTGGGTGGCTGGCCGCGGCCAATCGCCGGTACGCAGCGCGCACCTCAGCAAACTGAGCTTCAGCCGGCAGGCCAAGCAGCGCGTACACGTCGTCGAGGGTCGCGACCGCCCAGGCCGCCGCGGGCGCAGGGTCGACGACCGCGCGTAGACGCCCTGCTCGGGCGCGCCGCTGCTGCTGCTCGTGGTGAGGACGCAGACGCGGGGGTCGCCGCAGCGCCGCATGCCGCCGGCATGCTATCCGATGCTGCTGGTTGCCTTGTAACAATGCGTTGGAGGTGCCTCCGGCCACGTTGACGCCTCTGCTCGCAAGTGCTGGTTCCATCGCGTTTTGTACAGTCTTCAAACTGCTTCAATTGTGATGCAACCGCGTTGTTACATATATGCCTTAGTGTGTGTATCTACTGTATAGCTTTGGGCGCTCCGTGCTACTGGGCCCTCATCATGACTACTGTACCCCATGTGATCTGGGCAAGACAAGCAACTGTGCGCTGAACTGGGTCATTGAGGTGAGGTTCCATGCAGTAGTAAAAAGGTCACGATGCCCCATGCGTTGCAAACCTCACAGTATCATCCCTGGATATGTGCTCGAAGGGTCCACAGTGAGTCAAACTTGTCAGGGCGCGGTACAGGTACACGTGTCCTACGCCCATGACAAGCGTCCATCAACAGCATGTTCCGATTAACAATGACACCAGATATTGGTGACCCCTTAAGCTCCCCGCATGGATTGCTTCTGACTGTGCAAGGAGTTGCCAGTGCAGACAACCCCAAGGCCAGCCCTGTCATGACACGAGGACGCACACACAAGCGCTGCACCTGCGCCTGCTGCGGACCTTACTGCGCCGCCGCAGCCGCCGTCGCCCTGCTGCCGCTGGCCTTGAGGTGGAAGACCTCCCCCAGGCCGCCCCCACCCCTGCGATGGGGCGCGTCGAGCGCCAGATCGGCGGCTGTGGGGCCGGATGGGACGATGCCTGCGGGGCGGGATGTACCGAAAAGGGGGGGACAGGCAATGACGCTGATTTAATTTTACAATTGCAAAATGAAAGCTGTGGACGGCTTTTTCAGCCACCTAATCACCCCTTGATGCCGTACCCTGCATTTTGTCTACTAGGAATACTTAGCCTCCTGATGCACAACACTAGCCCTACACCCCACCCGCTTTTTGTTTGCTTGGCCACAAAACCACATTGCGCCCCAGCGGTGCGCACCGCTGGGGTTGAGTGGGAAGAGGTTTGTGTAGTAGCTGCGCCGCGCCTCGTCCACATCAAACGTGTCGGCAACCTTGGGGGGGCGGGGGGCAGGGTTGAACCGGCAGCTTGGGAACATGAGGGAGACCTCACTCCGCACATCCAGACTCTGCTTCATCAGCGCCAGTGAGCAGCAAGGCATCAGCTGCACTCATTCGGCCTGATGCGTTTCCTGGGAAGCCGCAAGCCTGTGGTCCTTTGACTGCACGCACCACACACGCAATCGGAGGCACCTCTCCAAGACAAGCCCCATGCGACCCGCGGGGCAGCCGCGCGCACCTGCATGCCGCCCCCTGGCACAACGATCTGGTGGACGTCGCGCATCCAGGCGGCCAGGTGGGGGTGGTCTGCCACGCGCCTCCGGCCGCAGCGGAATATTCCCGCGTACACGGCGTCAAAGCGCACGATGGTGGGGAACAGCCGCAGGTCCGCCTCGGTGAATCTGTTTGTTATTGATTGCGGGGGGGATGGGGGTGGTTGATGTTGTTGCTGCGGCAGGGAGGGGCGAGCGTGGTGGGGCGGGGCAGGAGAGGCGGTGCTGACAGCCAACGCCTCTCCTGCAGACGGAGCGCGCATCCCACAGAGGGTGTGCGTGCTGCAAGACGAGAAATGCATCAATCCACAAAAAAGATGTTGTTCGCGACCGGAAAGGGCAGGAGGGGATACCGTAGCACCTGTCTGTGGGCTCAGCACTAAACCGAGAACCAAACCGTCATGAGCGCCCTCGCCCATGACAGCGGTGGCCCCCACCTGTCCCCGGCCAGGAAGCGGCTGCCGGCAAGAATGGCGTCAGCGCGCGCCAGGCCGTCGTGCAGCTCCCTGGCTGCGGTGTCGTAGGCGGCCTGGGTGGTGGAGAAGCCGCAGCGGTAGACGCCGTTGTTCATGGACGGGTAGATCTGGGCGTGGGTTCGGAGGTGAGGGAGCACAGAAGGGGCATGTGTTGTGAAGCTGGCATGGGTTCGGCGCAAGGGCGCCCGCACCCAGGAGGGGCACACAATGAGGGCGGCCTGGACAGTAGTTTGTGGGTTGCGCCGTCAACACTGTGCGTCCCGGCAGCGCCCATACTCCTGACTGTGCACACTCACCTCCCCCATCACTGACCGAACAGCCACCACTGGCGGATCACCAACATTCCCTGTCACCCCACCCACCCAGTCGTTGAGCTCGTCAATCTGTGCTGCCAGGTGCGCCGGCCGCAGCTCCACGCCGTTGGCGCCTGGCAGGTCCAGCACGCCAAACTGCCGCACCAGGGACGCGCTCTCGTTGCACACCAGGCGCCGCGTGGCGCGGTCCACCAGGAGCGGCGCGGTGCATCGCCCGCGGAAGCCGGGGCTGCCGCGGTCGTACACCTCCCTTTGTGGGCGTCAGGGGTTGGGCGGGTGAGGGGGTGGACGTGGTGAGGGTGTGGGTGGCAGGTGAGGAGGGTGAGGAGGGTGAGGAGGGTGGGGGTCTGATGACGTACAGGGGGGACAGGGGGCTTGAAGTGGGGGGCCAGGAAGGCAAGCGGCATGACATGGAGGGGGGGTTTGCAGGGGCTTTGTGCAGCAGATGTAGCGTCTGCACGGCACTAGCTGCCCAAAGGCCGGCTTTCCACGACTCCCCTTCCCAGGTGGGCCCCCACCTCCTTCCGGCCCGAGTGAAGCCAGGCTGCATTGCTGCACCTGCTCAACCCCCGAGCCCGCCAGCACCCTGCGCCCAGCACCCAGCCCACCAGAGGTCTCGCGCGCCGAACGCCGGGTCCCCCTCCCGCGGCATCACCCAGCCGCCGCGCGTCGCATTCTCAGGCTCATCCAGCAGCCGCGTGATGGTCACGGCGCCCGCGATGCCGCGCACTGCCAGAGTCAGCAGCACGCGGTGGCACCAGGGGCAGGCGTTGCCGACATAGAGATGGTAGCGCCCCGCCACGGCCTGGGCGGTTTGGAGTTTTGTTTTGCAGCGAGGGCGGTGGGTGGTGTTGTTGGGTATGAGTGGCCATCCAAGGTGCAGATGACGCTGGGTATGCTATTGTGGGCGCTGCATTTAGCTGCCCACCCCGCCCTGCCAAGTCTCCTGAGACAGGGCACTAACACCCTTCATGCGTACTGGATTCCGAACCAATAGCGCTGAGATGCACACATTCGCCCACCGGAAACTGGCTGGACCCGATCTCGTTGTCAAAGGAGTACTGGGGACGAGTGTAGGCCCCGCCGCTGTCCTGCGGCGCCAGCTCCCGCACCATGGTCTGCCACCCTAGCTGCCAGCCCTGCTTGGCGCCTGTCAAGGAGGCAGGGGTGGCAAGGACCAAGTGTGGCGCGAGGTAGGCGGCGTCCCAGGTTCCGAGCAATGTGTGGGGCTGCGAGGGTGGCGGATGGCGGGCAAGGTCAGCCGCGCCGGGATCCAGCTCACCAGTCACAAGCGCGCCCTGAGGTACAAGCTTGGACGACCACTCCAGCAGTGAGAAGCCCTTGTCCACTTGTGGCGGCGGCAAGGCCGCGCACACGCTCACTGCGAGGCGGCGGTGCTGACGCACAGGCGCCGCGCCACAGGCAGCCGAGGGCAGACGTGTTGGGACACCATCATTATATAATGACGTCCTTGCCTGACAGCTTGAAGGGGTTAAGGCTTTCATTGCGAGCGATCCGAGGTGGATAGAACCAGATCAACTGTTGGTATGGCCAAGCTTGATATATATGTGCAGCGATTTCTATGATGTACCATACCTCATGCTTGTGTGTATATCATAATTGCGGTACAGCTGCAGAGGTGCAACAGTTTTGTGTGTCGGCAGTGGTTCGCTGCCACCACCGGCAAGACTGAAACCGAACTCGCACCTGCGTCTCTCGCGCATAGCCGGCGCTCGTCGCCGGCAGTACCGTGGCTAAAGCCTGCAGTCTTCCCCACAATGCCAGTGCTGCGGGGTCGGCAAGGAACCTCGCTGCCTCGCACGGTCCATGCGGCTCACATATGTATAGCATTCGTTTCAATTTTCGTTCTCTTCCTAGCCCAGCCAGCTGAGCCACTGCGCCTGCCGGGGGCCGACGACATCAGGCGTTGGCTGAGGCGCGGCACTGCTGAGACTGCGAGCGACTCTGCATGGGGCGCGGAGGTCTTTGGCCGACCGCTGCTGTCCCAGCGATCTGAGGTTGACCCTGTGGCGCAGCGCATCCTTGCCTCGGGTGCCTACGGCGGCAGCGGCAGCAACGGTCGTGCCAACGCCGACGCTTTGTCGACAGTATTCGATGCTGCGGCGCTGGACCAGCTCCAGGGCCAGGCGCTGTCAGACGCACGGCGGACCGCGCCCGACGCAGCCACTACTGCAGCGGCCTATACGTCTGCCGCGTCCAGCGGCGCGTTCGACCTTGAGCGCGCGTCGATGCTGGCCACGCTGCAGTCGATTGCCTACTGCGGAGACCAGGTGCGGCAATGTGGTCTGAACGCAGCAGGAGCAGGCAGGACGAACGAGGGCAGCCGCCGCAAATCTGGAGGCCGGTCAAAGCTCATACTACCAGCTTCCCAGCTGCTTGCTCACCACCTAGATATGCCTGCGCTGGCTCCGCAGCACCAGCATTTGCGTGATTACAGCCGCCTCAATCAGGACCCATCATGTCATCCAAACTGTCAACTGCAAGGGGCCCCCTCAACACACCCAACCCCCAGGACGGCATGCGGGCGTGGTCATGCCGCCGCTGCGCGCGCGTCCCCGGTTTCCAGCCCGCCGTGGTCCACTTTGACGCTGACTGGGACCTGCTGGGCTACGCAGGCTACCTGCCCTCCCTGAACGCCAAGGTCGTCGCGTTCAGGGGGTCTGACGCGGGCAGCTGGGCAAACTGGGCCAACAACATGCGCGGTGGGCGGGGCGCTGCGGCGGTGCAGCGGGGCTTAGGCTGGGGGTGGATCGTTTGGGGAGCGGATGAGTTGGGTTGGGTGGGGTGGCGTGATGTGCTGCCAATGAGATGTAATGCATGGCGGCAGCTCTGGGACGTGCGGCGGCAGCATTCAATTGCTTGCTGTAGCATGCAGCCGCCGAGCGGCTTGCAGGCTGCTTTGCGCTCCTGGCCGCACCTGCTGCCAAGCAGGACCCTCCCTGACCGTCTTCCCCCTTCTCAACCTCCCCCCTCCCCCCCACCTCCCTCCCTGCGTATCCAAAACTCTCAAACCCAGCCTGGCGCACCGATGCGGCCTACCCCCTGCCCGGCGCCCCCAGCTCCCTGCGCATCCACAGCGGCTTCCACGTCCTCTGGAACAGCAGCAGCATGGCCAGGACCTTCACAGCTGCGTACGCCGGCCTCCTGGCCGCCCACCCCAATGGCCCCACCTACGTGCTGGGCCACAGCATGGGTGGCGCCCTCGCCCAGCTCTGCGCCATGGACCTGCGTGTTGCGTTCGACCCGCCAGATCTGAGGGTGTTCACGTTTGGGTCGCCGCGGGTCGGCAACGGCGAGTTTGCGGCGTTCTTCGTGCGGCACGTGGCGGAGAGCTGGCGATTCACGCACGGGCGCGACATCGTGCCGAGCGTGCCGCCAACCTACATGGGGTTCCGCCACGTCGCAAGAGAGGGTGCGCTGCTGGGGCTTGCATTATGGCTGAAATTGCGTTGCTGTAATCCTGGAGCAGTGGGCTCTGAAGTCCTAATGTTTCAACTGCAAATGCCATGGAAGGGTCAAATACATACTGGCAATCCAGGAATTTTTCTGTGCTGCGTTACGCTGCATGCACCCGTGTTACTCCCTTATCTTTCGCGCTCATGTGGCCAAGTGCCTCACGCATGTTTGCCATACCACGCTTTTTCGCGTTTGCCATCCCAACCCACGGCCTTGACCCCCCCCCCTCCCAGTTTGGCTGGTGGATGTGGCGCCCGCGGCTGGTGGTGCGGAGCCTGAGCAGCGCGTCATCGTGTGCGACGAGAGCGGCGAGGACCCCTCCTGCCACAACAGTGTATGCCACCTGGGCATGTGCACCAGCGTTGCGGACCACCTCACCTATATGGGGGCACACATGTGGGCAGGCGATGAGTGCTGATGAGCGCTGCCAGGGATACTTTAGTTGATTTGGTTGCGCCCCAGGCCTAAACGCAGCAGCCACCGCCTAGCACTGGCACCTGCGCCAGGCAACCCATGGCGACCTGGCTGTGAAGATTGACCTGAGCCATACAAGCGCAATCCATCCTGCGCTGCCATGGAGCAAAGCAAGCTATTGGCTCGAAATACTGCCAATCACATCCTGTTGGCTTATGAGAATGCTGTACCAGCCCAGGCTTCTAACGTGTGCTCATTTATGTGGTACGCGGCTGTCTGCCTCAACGGCGCACTGTATCTCTGTCATGATTGGCAGCGTGTGCGGTACACGTCCCGTGTGTGCTGGGTCTGGTGGCAAGGAAGCACCCACTTGCATTGCTTCGCCACTGCTTTGTAATGTTATCTGGCACATGCGGCTTGCAGACTGTGTAGCCCTTCATCTGGTCCAACACTCAACTGCTTGTTTGTAAAGCTGAGCTGCTCTGCGGCCATGCTGGATCTGCATGATCCCATGTCGCTGGGCCCCTGCTCGCATCATTCCAGGCGCACATGCTTATGCAGTGCAGAGTGCAATATAGCTTAGAGGTTATAGTCTGCCACCTGTAAAAAACTGTATTATAGGTTGCATCTGCCATGCGGTGCAGTGTGGACCATCAAAGCCAGCAACGCATCAGCAGCCTGCCGTTTAGGTCCCCAAACTGAGCACGCAGCCGGCCAAGTTGCGATGGCAGCCAGGACTTTGCAATAGTATTACATGGTGATTTGGGTCACCGAGTGATGCATGGAGAGCGCGGGGGGCGGCCGCACCCCACCCCTCACTTGCGCGGGGAAGAGGTCCAGCGAGCTGAAGCATCCGCGCGACCCTCGCGCGACGCAAAATCGTTTGACATGCGCGTGACCTCGCGCTCAAGCGCGTGAATCATGCGGATCAACTCAGTGAACCTGGCCGTGGACAGCAGCCGCGGGGAGCCCGGCGCCATAGCCGCGCCCAGCGGGGAGCCGGGCTGCACGGCCGGGCAGGGCACGGGCGCAGGGGGGCGCAGCGAGGGGTTGCAGCAGGGTGCCGGCAGGTCAGTATGGTTGCACGCTTATGGAGTGAAGAGTTTCAATGGAGCATGCAGAGCAGGGCTGCCGCATGTGGCGGCGTTAGCATGCAGCAAACGGCATGCATGCGGCATGAAGCCGCATGGAACAACAGCAGAGCGCTGACCAGCCCACAGTCGCTGCATGCAAGAGGCATGCACCCCAGCTTTGCATGCTGAAAAAGACGCAAGGGCCGTGCGCACCCTAGGGTTCCCGCTGGGGGGGGAGACCCCCACCGCCAGGCGGGCGAGCTCAGGGTTGAGCAGCGCGGCCGCCGCCGCGCCCTTCACGACAAAGATGTCGCTCTTCTTGGGAGAGGACATGTTGGAGCCAGCAGGAGCGGTGGGCGGCGCTGGGGGCGCCTCCGCCTGGTCCTTCGCGGGTAACTCAGGGAGCGGCAGGCTCATGGTGCGTACTAGCCTGCGTTTGGGTTGGGCGGGTGCGGCAACGTGAAGGGGGCAGGGGGTTTGGTCGCATGTTATCAGGTGGAGTGCAAGTGACCAGCAGGGTCAGGACAGAGCGCCTTGCATGCACCATGTAATGCTGTCGCATGGCGTCTTGCATGCACCACGTAATGCTGTCGCATGGCGTCACCCCCTTGTGCCTGCATGCGCTGAGACTGGCGGGAGGCACCATGCACACCTTTGAGGGGCAGTGGCAGGCAGGTGTGAAGCTCGAGGTCGGTTGTGCGTGATGGCCAGGTGGTCACATGAAGTCCCAGATTGAAAGCCGCACAGGAGGTTGAGACACGGAGTGAAATGTCAGGCGCATGCTGCAGGGTGTGTTGCTACTATGCGCGCATCAGCTGCATGACGACACAGCACGCACACCAGGAGTCGCAACGCGCGCCCGAGCCCCGCTGCTGCGGCACCATCGGCACACATCGACCAGCACCCAGCAGCTGCGGTGCACGTCCAGATCGAAGCAAGCCCCTCACCTGGGATCTCACAGGTAGATGATTTGGGGAGTCAGGCGTGCTGCAGGGACATACGGCGCAGTAATCGGGGCAGGAGGAAGGCGGAGTCAGGCGTAGGTGATGTACTGCTGCTGTCAGACGTGCCGCGCTGGGTGTGCCATCGGACTGCTTAGCCCCAGGGTCTGCAATCTAGTTGCTTTGGCCTACAATAAGAGGCGGGGGCAACCGGGTCAGGGGTTCAAATGCAACCTTCGCGCCGGGCACAGATCATCGAGACAAGTTCGACTTGAGGACAGGCTCGCTGCAACCTCACCTGAGAAGAATGAGTTTACAGAGGGTGTTGATATAACGAACGTTTGAGGGGATGGGGCACTCAAATAGGCAGGCGGGTTGGAAGGGCTGCAGACACACGTGGCTTGCTTGATGGTGCACCACCTGAAAAGGTGGTTGATGGCAGCAGCTGGGTCGGTGTCGCAGCAGTGCATGCGCTGGGCCGCTGACAGCGACCACTGCATCTCCACCTCTCTGCAAGCCAACCACTTCGTGCTGCGCGCCGCCGCGCACTGGCAAGCGCTTTTGAAGCAATCGGGCATGCAGGCGTGCGTGCCCTTCTCATCCTGGCCTTTCCACCGCCAAATGCATGTGCTGCGGCACACTCTCTTTCCAGAGTGCTTCAGGTGCGGGGCCGTGGTGTGCTGTGCAAGTGCCAAGTCGCCAGATTGGTGCAAGTGTTGCTCAGCGGTAACGTCTTCCCCTCTTTGTTGGCAAGATTGAGCCGCGGCCAACGAAGGGGCCTTGGTGGTTGATTTCCATCCTCACAAGGTGCTGAAGAAAGCTGGTGGTCTCCCTTGGCCGGTGGCCCTGAAGGCAAAGAGGAAACGCAGTGCAGCACAGCTCGCACATCAGTGCCGTGCGTTGTCCAGCAGCCCGACACGTAGGGCGACAACTGCACTCATGGACTGATGAACCCCCTCACCCCCCACCCTTAGTTGAAAGTGGACATGCCAAACATTTCTTCCTTTGCTCCAACGGTGCAATTAAATCAGGCAAAAACACCCCAACACACACCCTTACCCTCCATTTGCTCCGAGTGCGCGAGTCCCGTCAGCACCGAGCGTAGCGAGAAGCCACGGAGCAAGTACATCCTCCAACCTCGCGTTTGATTGCCACAACATGTCCAAGGAGCTTGATGACCACAATATTCACAGCGAAATAACTTACAAAGCTACAATGTCGCGCGCCCCTGAGTTCCAGGCCGCCAGGCCCATCGGAAAGCAGCCTTGGTGAGGCCCGTGTGGAGCCCTGGCGCCACTCTCCACGGCGTCAATGCGTCAAACTAAGATTATCACCACCTTTGCATGCATCCACCTCATCTGCAGGCCCTGGTACAGGGGCGAAGGAGGTGGCCGCATCTACCCGCACTGTGAGCAGGACGAAGATGCCGCCGGCCCTACCTGTGTCTCGTGGAACCAGCTGGCGGCCACCGGAGAGTACTTTGCCATCAAGAGCCTGTCGCGGGACTTCCTGGAGGGCAAAGACGGCATCGTGGTGAGCAGGCAGGCGGTGGGGGGAGCTGCTGGACGCGCGCGGCGCCTTTTTCGCCTGCTGCTGGCTGCACGCACGCACGGCAGCGACCCGCGCGAAGTGGGGTAACCCGGCGCCTGGCAGGCGCGTACATCCCCGAAAGATGCACGCTCGCTGCAGGCGCGCCTACAGTGTGCTGTCGGGCGCATTTATCTTCATCTCCTGCGCAACCCAGCAACAGAGGGGCAGCACCCCAGCTCCAAAACATACCTCAGGGATGATGCAGCCACACGCCTGCCTGCCGCCCAGCCAAACCAGCGCGCCCAGATGCATACATGACTCCGCCGCCACACCGCAACCCACTCCCAACAGTACGCCATGCTGGAGGCGGAGGTGGACGCCCACCGCCGCATCTCCACCCCGGCCGTGCCGGCCTTGCGCGACGTGGTGCGTGACGAGGAGACCGGGCAAGTGCACCTGGTGTTTGACTACGGTGGCCGCCCCATCCTCGATGTTGTCGACGGCACCTTCACGCCTGAGGGCACGGTGCTCAACACAACCTTGGCGGCGCATGCGACCGTGACGCTGCTGACGACGCTGCAGCAGCTGCATGCGTCTGGATACTCCTACAATGACCTGAAGCCCCACCAGCTGCTGTGGGACGCCTCGCGCGAGGCGCGGGACTTCCCCATGAAGCTGGCCGACTTTGGAGCAGGTGAGGAGGCTCGCGCAGTCTGTTGACGTATGCAGTGGGAGCAAGAGGGACCGGGTCATGATTGATTACCTCGCTCGTTGGCAAAGGGGGAGGGGAGCACTAACCGTGTCTGGTTGGAATGTGTGCTGTTGGGCTGCAAGGCAAATCTGCCTGTGACAAAGTGGGGGCCTATTAACACCAGGATGCATATATGCTCGCCCACCGCCGGCAGTCTGCATGGGGCGATGCAATAGAACCCATGGCGGCACTGGCCAAGGGTCGTTGCCAGCAACATGGCCGCACACCAGCCGACCGTCTGATGTGCGTCCTCCTCCCCCCCTTGGCCCCCGACTGGGCGCGTTTGCAGTGACCAAGATCGGCTCCAGCCAGCTGTTGAGCTGCACTTGTAGCTACATGCCGCCAGAGACGCACGCCATCGTGGCCAGCGGCATCGACGCCAGACGCCCCGATGGCATCCCCTCCACCCTTGGGCCCGCGTTTGACGTATGGGGTGCAGTGCTGAGCATCGCCACCATCGCCCTGGACGGCATCAACCCTTTTGAGGCGCCGTTGCACCGCAAGGAAGACTGCCCCGAGCCCTACCCGCGCATCCCGGGCTGCAGCTGGGACCCCTATGACGCGCAGGTGGTGCTGGAGCAGCCCACTGCGTACGAGAGCTCCCCCACCTGGGACGACCTTGACCCCGACCTGCAAGACTTCATCCGCGCAGGCCTCCACCCCAACCCAAAGGAGAGGGCCACCATCCAACAGCTCATGGCCATGGAGTGGGGCCGCCGCTGCATGGCCTTGCTGACGTCAGCATCCAGCGGCGACAACAAGGGGTGCGTCGGCAGCCATAACGCACAAGAGCGTGAGCAGGCCTTGGACCCGGAGGCGATGACGCCGCCACTGCAATCGGCGCCTGAGCCGGACGACGTCGAGAACAAGAGGGGTGCCGCCGCCATTACCCCCACAGTCGACTCCTCAGAACCCTGCGCATCATCCGAGTCCGGGTTCCAGGACAGCAGCGGCCGCACGCAGCTGCTGGCAGCGCTCCAGAGCACGGCCGAGGCGGAGCTGGCCGTAGAGGCCCGCATCCCGCACAATGCCAGCGTTCCCACCACGCACAGTGGCGACGCCGCCATACTCCTGCTGGCCGCCGAGCTGAAGGCGGCGCAATGTGAGCGCGATGACGCGCACCAGAGGCTGGCAGAGGAGCGGCTCGAGAACCGCGCGTTCATGGAGCGCGTGGACACGCGCGTGAGTGAGATGGGGCAGCAGATCAAGGTCCTCATGGATCTGGTGTCCACAATGCAGGTCAACAAAGGCATGGCGAGCCTGAGCGGCGGGATGCAGGACCGCTTGCACCTGCAGTCCAGCGCTGGCACTCGCAGCGAGGCGTCCGGTGTTGCCACCCCCTCGCGCACCACCGTCGCGGGCCATGCTGGCTCCAGCAGCGGCGGCGGCAGCAGCAGCCGCAGCCTCAACATAAGCATCTCCAGCGGCGGAGCCGCCGGCGCTGGCGCCCGCAAGCGCGGCAGCGAGGGCGCCGGGGCGCGCGTGCTGAAGGAGATGTGGGGGGATGTCAAGGCGGCCGGGCGGGCCGTGGCGGGCTGGTTTGAGCAGGCCCTGGCCCTGCCGTCAAGCAGCAAGGGCCCCAGCCGCGCTGCACCCGCAACCCCAAAGTCAAGGCGCTTTCTTGGAAGGCGCTCGGTGATGGCCCTAGTCTGAAGCATACAGCCTGAGAATGTGTTTTCTGTGCTCATGCAGCCGTGACCTTAGTGCGGGAACTGAGCAGTGTTGCGCTCTGCACCGAAGAGTGTGCCCTATCCTTTCTTCTAGCAAAGGTTTCCCCTTGTATTTTGATCCTGCCTGCTGCCTCAGCGCTTTGGCGACGGCCAACGGATGGTCGCGCATCGCAAGTCGTGCCATTCGCCTCGGCACTTGGGGGCGGTGTTGTGGGCTGCTTGTGACCTCAACGCCCGACGCCCCCGCCCGGAGCTCCCGCCCGCCGCCTCGTTACCCTCGCGGTGCGTAGTTTCAGCTGAGCCACGGCCCATACGCCAACGCCAGCATGCATCCTCAGGATGCCAGAGCTATCCAGTGCGGCCCATACGCCCTTGCATCTGATGGCCCCTACTCATTCAGTGTGCTCAAGCAGCCGTGCCCTTAGCGCGGGAACTGAGCAGTCTTGCGCTCTGCACCGAAGAGTGTGCCCTATCCTTTCTTCTAGCAAAGGTTTCCCCTTGTATTTTGATCCTGCCTGCTAATTCAGAGCTTTGGCAACGGCCCAACGGATGGTCGCGCATCGCAAGCCGTGCCATTCGCCTCGGCACTTGGGGGCGGTGTTGTGGGCTGCTTGTGACCTCAACGCCCGACGCCCCCGCCCGGAGCTCCCGCCCGCCGCCTCGTTACCCTCGCAGTGCGTAGTTTCAGCTGAGCCACGGCCCATACGCCATACGCCAGCATGCATCTTCGGGATGCCAGAGCTATCCAGTGCGGCCCATACGCCGGGGCATACGTTGGCCCCTGCTTTTTCAATGCACCTTTGCGCAACTGCCTCGCTGCTGCCGTGTCCCCCGTTAGACCGTTTTTGCACCTTCGGTACTGTAACGAGTGTTCATTTCAGCCCTTCAGCTCTCCAACTACCAGCCTGCACAAAGCTCAGGTGCCGCTATTGTCCGGGCAGCATTACCACTCGGGCAAGGGCGGCGAGTGAGCAGCCGGTGACGACGGCAGTGGCAGGTGACAGGCGTTTCAAACTTGTGTTCTGATCTCAAGATTGTAGCGTGATGCTGCTATCGGTTGCATGGACACATATCCACGACGGACACCTGACACGATTTTGATCTGTGCGTCACGCGTCAGAACGTCACATGATCGACGCGTCGTTGCGACATGTAGGGGGCACCAACCCTAGCAGCAGAAGCAGCACCTGCGTGGTGTGGTCCTGTGGGCGGCACGCGGCGGTCATGCTGGCAGCAGCACATGTGTCGCAACAAGTGGAGCCGGACCATGGGGTTTCAGCTGTGTATTGCGGGGGCCTCATCCGCCTGAGCAGTGTTGGCAGGTGAGGGGCGGAACAGCAGTTTCCTGGAGCGGTCAATAGGATGGAATGGGATTGTTACAGCGTCCGCGGCCGCCCGCATCTGGAGCCATCCAGGCTCATGGGGCTCAGATGGAAGTACAGAGCGGAAGCCGCGAGAGCTGCCTGTACGCATGGCAGCAACAAAGGCAATGTTGTGGATTAACTTTAGTTTCGTGGCTTAATGCTGGCCACAATGCACCGAGTATGCCGCCTCATTCCAGGCAACGAAAATACATCCTCGGCAGTTCAAACGGCAGCGGCGTCAACCGCAGCATGGTTTGAGTGCGTCTTGACTGCGAGGGCGCCGGCGGCAGCGTGTCTTTGCTGCAGTCTCTGCACCGGAAGTGGGGAATACAGCTGCATGAACCTCTGGGTTGCCTCGTGGGGGCCGGCAGCCCGACAGGGTTCGGCAGCCGCGTGGCTGCACAATCAACTCTCCCCCCAGCAACACACACACACACACACACACACACACACACACACACACACACACACACACACACACACACACACACACACACACACACACAAAGCAAACACA